ACCAGACTTGGCCTTGCACGCCTCAGTTCACACGATGCTAAGCCTCTGTGAAAAATTTCATAAGGCGGGAGGACCACTATGATTCCAAACCGGATACCTTGTTCTGGTCAAGTCGCGTATGATTCCCCACTGTAGCCGAGAAAATGACACCGCTCGCTTCCTGACTCTGCGGGCAATGACATGGGAGCGCTAAGATTGTTGGCACATTAATGATATGTTGGGCCACTGAGTCTCGGCACGATGTAACCGCGATTGGACGAACCGCCGCAAGAATGCGACAGTCCCTTCAGAGTGGAATGGACGCTCGAATCAACTTGGCTGGGAGTCCAAAAGGTGATACGTCTCGTCCCACTAACGCCCGGCAATGACGACGTTTGAGCAAAAGATCAAAGAAAAAGATAATTCAGATTTGTGGTGGATAGAGACCCTAGAGTAGGCCAGCGTATATCGAAACGAAACAAATAAATCTCCGAGTCCCATCCATCAGTGGGATTTGTCGAATGGGTGTAAAAAAAAAGAGATCCGGCAGACTCAGATTTGCAGGATATAGAAGATTACTCAACAAGGCTGGAAGTCACCACATCGCTTGCGGAATCGATCAATGGGGGCGATGGCCGCGCTGGGGATCATTGATCATGGTGGGTATGCCGTGCGGATGGCCTGTAGGCGAAGCATCATGTCAAGGTGCAAGGTTATGGGGTCTGGGGGATGCACACCGCGAGGGAGGTGATTCCCTGGGATGCAATAGTTTCCAGGCATTCTGTCTTGGAAGCCGAGCAAAGAAACCTGGGAAGGTCAAGGGATATTTGGCAATATTGGGTGCGGTGTTTAACGCCGGTCCAGGATGGCCTGGGTAACTGCGGACATGACATTGGCAGGATTGTCTGAACAGGGCATCCGCGCATCAGTCAGCCGGGGGGTAACTGGTGGAGATCCGCGTCCCGCCCGACGTGCCGATGTCAAAGCAAGGATAGTCCCTGAGAATGGTCGTGAGTCGTTGTCGAACTACTTTGGCCCCCGAGGTCAAGTTGCCTTCGTCTTGAGGAAAGGGATGGGGAAACTCGGGAACAGTGCCAAAAAGGCGTGAGCAATTTCGAGGCGGGTTGCAAAGCCGGCCGCGAGATTGATGTATTCGACAGTTGTTGTGGGCATACGATCGAACATAATGCATGTGCAGTATGCAAGCTTGACACCGGTCGACCGACTCCGGGGTTACAGCAGCGGCCGCACTAGGTGGCTTGTAAGACGGCCGTCTCCACGCCAGGTTGCATCCAATGGTATTGGACTCAAGGACACCAAAGATAGGTGCATCTTTCTGGTGAAAGATAGCCAGCCTTGATAGAGAGACGACGAGAACCAAACGCTCTGTCGGTCGAGGGGCGCTCTCAGTGACGGAGAAAGTTGGGGCCCTCTGTGAGTGGTGTGCACAGCATCATCTGCTTCGCCGTTATGCACTCCGCATTGAGCGCATGTTTGGTTCAACCATTCGTCTGAACGTCCTGGCGCACCGTCGCCATCTGTCCAAGCGATTTATCGAGCCAAGGGGCTTAGACACAATCCACAATTGGATATCGACCTCTGCCGAGTGGTGCCCTTGATGTATACATAGTAGCCCTCGAGTCCCCTAGGATCTCCTCCGACAGATAGCGCTGTAAGCTCTGCCGGGGGAAAGATGCCTTTTTGCGAAGGCAGCTACTTTGTGGCTTTGCGTAGAGTAGCGAAATTGTCATCCGCATAGCGAGGCCACCAGTTGGCGACCGATCGACTCGGGAGACCAAAATAGCCAAAACAATCATGGGCACTTATGCATGAAACATGGGGCGCGCATAAGCACAATAGCGACAGGGGGTGCCTCAGGAGTCTCGAACAGCGTTGCGGCCTGGGTTCGGAGATTCGACCCCATTGGCAACTGACTGTGTCGGTAAGTGAGCAGCGCCTTTTTTGTAGGCGAGCACTTGAACAGGAAGACTTGGAACCCATACCAGCAGCCTTTGCGCGAGCTCAGTCTCTCCTGGGTCTCTGTCTGTCTCTCACTCTCTCTGTTGGGTCTCCTCGGAACTGGTGAGCTCCGGTAGACAATTTCACACGACCCAGCTCTCATTTCCCCGTCCCTCCAGTCAGGCGGCTCGTAACATTGAAGCCTACCGACGGTCGAAGGGTCATCATCTCTGTCTAGGGCGAGGGCTCTAGAAACGGTAGGACGTCCGGCAATGCCCCAGGCTATCCATCCATCGCCGTCGGAAGATTTGCCGGCAGCGTTGGACCGACCACCATGTACGAATATCCAGCGTTGGCTAGCCGTAAGCGACGGCCTGACGTGACATTGGGGGTCGCACTGCTGCTCATCATATTGATGGCGGATGACAGGCTCCAGGATGTCGTCAGCGGACCCTGTGACAGGCGCCCAATTCCCTGATTGACAGGCCGAGCTGGCCCTTCTTTAGTGTGGCGGATGGTCTACGACTCGTGAAATGGGTCCCCCTCCCCCTCCAGTGGCTAGACGTTGGATCGCCTCGGCGACACCTTGGAAACGAGATTGAGTTTGCCAGGAAGCCTCGTCTTGCGCAACAAATCACGGTCTTGCGTCGCATACCATGTACAACGCCATCCGCTAGCTAGGCGCGCTGGCATTCCCCTCTCGCTACTGAGTAACGGTCGCTCAGCTATCGCCACAGACTGAGTCAGGTCAGGAAATCCCCATGAGTCAAAGTCGTCTAAATAAAGTTGAGCCCATTGGTTCCTGCAGACGCTCTGTTGACTTGGAACACAACTCAGCTGATGGTACGGTTTGTTTTTCTTTCATGCCTTTTCCTTCGTCTCAAGCTGTAGGGATATTTGAAAGACAACAGAGAGTTGGGGGTATATCGAGAAATTGTAGTTGCCGACAGCTCGATCCACGTCCCTAGCGACAAGGCGTTTGTTTGCATTCAGTTTTTGCAGCGAGGCAAGAAATCCAAGATGCTGACGCGATGCACGGTCTATGCCCTTCCCGCTGTCTCACGCCAAGTTGACGCCATGAGACCGGCTGTGAGTGATGGCTGGCTTGAAATGAGACTATGGGTCAAGAATGCGCGGACAACACGCCGAAGCAAGTCTGTGAGCAGGCCATCGGCGGCTGAAATGCCTGTATTCATCCCTACCTGCCGCCCGGGTAAAGGGTCTTTTGAAAGACCCAGGCCGGGGTTTGCGGTACATAAATGCGAGTGCCGGCCAATAAAAGACGATATCCGGCCCAAACGCCACAGCTGTCAGTTACGCATGAAGAATGGTCCGGGATTGGCGAGTCGAAAACGGGGGCAAACGCCACAATCCCGCTGGCCTCTAGAGTCACGGGTTGGCCTCACAACCAACAGTACGTGTTTGGGTAGTCCAGGGCGTATTCATCATTGGACGGCACGTTACTGCCGTTGCCCGCAAGACGTTGATAGCCAAGAGCCGTCTGGCTGCCTGACACAAACAAGACTCGAGGGACTAAACGGCGGCAGACACTGCGCCTGTCGATGGAGGTATAATGGTAAGGGTCGGTGTGCCTGTGACGTATCCATACGCCTGACATGTCTCGAAAGTGCGCCGACCGAACAACCCAATCGGCTGTCTGACTTTGGGGTCGAGACAGCAGTCGAGCCGATTCCCATGTGAAAGCCGTGGGTGGGTACGACACGTCCTCGTGGATGGTAATAGGACTATGAGCGGCGGCAAAGACAACGGTTCGATAGAGGTCTTGCTACTCGTGTCTTTTCTTCTCGTGGGATGACACTGAAACGAGTTTCTGAAGGGCTAGACTCGCAGAGCCCTGGACCAAGGACAGGCGAGACGTTGGCGCGGCGGCTTTGCTCTGATTTCAGGCTTGGTGGTGGAGCGAAGACAAAGATTTAGGCCCGAAGGCACAACGCCAACATGGTGTCATACCTACAGGGACGCTATCTGCCGCCGTTACATCCGTCTCACGTCATGATGAAGAGGGTTCGCGACCCCGGGTTGGCAATTTTCTTTTCAACGGAAAGGCCTTCTTGGGCTGAAAGAAACCTGATGGATAATTCTGGCGGCTGAGGATACGAAGTGCTCGGCCGAGCAGCTTTCCCGACGCCTTTCCCGACGCCTTTACTGTCGCTGATTTGTTGCAGGGATCTTTCTTGGGCGAGGCCCAGGATCCCGCAGGGGGTTTCATATTATTCCAGAAGCTTGCCAATAAAGCCTTTGCCGTCAAAGTGTCGTCGCATAGGCAGGCCAGTGAAAATCTGGGGGATGATGCCATCCCGCCGGCTGTGGAGGAAGACATGCAGGGGGTTGTTGGGAACAGGAAACAGTGGTACGCAGCTGCTCATCTTCTAGAAGGCGCACTCAGGATGATTTCCAGGCGAAGGCGAAATATTAGCCTACATCGCACTTGGTTTGGAGGCCGTGATGGCCTTGTTATGCAGTCAGAAGCATGGCAGCGGACGCAGTGCAGCGCCTCCTCCTCGGACTTTGGTGCGGCGTAACCCTGGCCTGGTTTTGGGGGGAAGGGGAGAAGAAGAGAGTGGGCGAATTGACAGGGTCTTTGGGTGGGTAGAAACACAGGACGGATCCCGAGGCGGCACAGCCTTGCGGCTCCCGTTTGAAGGGGTGCATGTCGGATTCGAGTGGATGCTGGCTCGTCGAAAACCTTCTTTGGCGAAAGTGAGGCAGGCCCCTGGCTGACCACTTTCGTCTCCAGTCGATATTGGATAGCCCAAGGAAAACCACTGCGGGCATCCATCGGTTCTTCGACGCGCCTTTGTGTCACGGAGGCTGCGGCCCCGCAGCGTCGCCATGCACCACATCGTTTGGCCATCAGGAACGTCTGTGTACCTATGTATCTTGCGTGAATAGGCAAGGGGGTTCCACAACGGCGGCAAAATAGACCGAAACGAGTAGGTCTTGGTGGACGGTAGGGACGAAGAAAATGACGACGACGTGAGACTCAGTGCCCCCCACGCAGAGGCACAATAGTCGAGGAAGTCCAGAGCGCGTGCTCCGCCATGAGCACGGGGGCGACTCCCGAAGGAAGCAGGTCGGATATTGCCGGGAAGCTCACCCAACATCAGTATCTTTCTGGATCAGCCACGATTGGCAATCGGATGTTAGGTTCTGATGGTCTCAAAGGGTGTTAGTCGGCAGGCATTATGGTGGAGGTGCATCATCCGGGAGGGAACCGGGCCCAGAGGGCGAACGACTGACCTGCTCTAACACAGTCGAACAAGCGGAAACGCACAGCAGGGAAACGAGGAAGAGGAGGAGGAGGAGGAGGCCCGGCAGCAGGTTAGAGACTGAGGATGGCGCAGTGCCGGGAGGCCTGGGGCGGGGTTACACGATAATAGAATGGCGTTGTACCTCTTTGAAGGTGTGAATGAATGGGATTTTGTTCCCTGATGGTAAATCTCGTCATATAGAGAGGGAGAAATCGAGCAAGCGAGCGTCATAGTGTGTACAGTACACTGAGCAGGTAGGCGGGCACTTGGGTGGACAGGAAGGACCGACTGGTGCTGCTGGCCGAATAGGAGAGTGAACCAGCTACGGTAGGTAGGTAGATAGATACACTCCTACCCTCTTAGACGAGGAAGGTACATTCCTTCCATCGCAGGTCCACAAACTTCTGCCGTACGTGTCTGTCTGTTCACTAGTCCAGTACGAGGTGGGGGGAGGGGGGGGGGGGCTCACGAGCATATAGGTACGTACCTTATCTTGACTCGGCCGAAACAGGCCCCCAACATCGGGGCTTCCTTCCTCGCCAACCATGTCGTCCTTTCTGTATAGGATGTACCAAGGCATTCAAGGGAGGTAACTTCGGAAAGAAGGCGGACAAAGCGGCCGGCAGTTGTGGCAGGACGATGGTCGGCAAAGTGACAGGCCGCATTTCCCGAACAATCGACGGAGGAGGAAGGAGGAAAGGAGCCCATGCCAATCAATACTGAGTCAACGGCACTCACCTTCAACACTTGGTCGCGAGCAGTGCGGGCTGCCACTGGGAAATGAACAAAGCAAAGAATGGAGCTGTTCCTGGGTATGGACGGAAGTGAGACGACGGGACCTGCTGCTGTTGCCGGTTGTAAGCGATGTTGCAGACTTTGGAAAGTTGCGGGCGACTGCTCTGACCGTCTGTTTGTCGCTACGCATTGTGTCATAACCCGTGAAAAATGAGCCCAGGTCGTTCGTTCGTTGGGGCTCAAGGAACCAGAATAGAGAAAAGAGCAGGAGCAAAGCGCGGGAACGGAACAGACCACAAACCCCGTAATTACATCCGTGAGTAGGCATCTCGTCCGTCCCATCTCCATAAGACACTTTCTGAGTTGTGACGGCGGCTTGCCTTGGCGGCCCTGGAACAGTGCAAGAAACATCATGGAGAAGGAGTAAGGTCATCTCTTTCTCTCTCTCCCTCTCCCTCGCCCTTCTCCCTCACCCTGTCGTTGTCATCGTCGCCAACTGGGCTGTTGGGGCGGATCCCTTTTGCCACAGATGGATACGTACCACTGTAAGGCAAAGGTGGTTAACACCCCGGTCTCTTGCATACCCAACCTACCTACCTACCTACAGTACCTTACGAATACCTGGGTACTTCCAAAAGTAGGTAAGTAGTAGACGCACTAGTGCAAACCACACCTCGAGAATAATAACTAACAGTTGCCCGCTTAGCCATCTTCGGAACCTCAATGCCCCCGAAACTAGCGCTGGAAAACCGTTTTCTGTCATGACCCGGACCTAGACTAGCCTAGTCTAATCTTGTGCGTGCTATGTCCGCCTGTACGCTGCAATCGCCAGGTACACACATATCGGCCTTCGGGGCATCGAGTCGCAGCCTGGCCGGCAGGCAGGGAGGGAGGGGGAGGAATCCTTGGGACCGCGGTAAACATGAAGCACGGACGATGGCTAGATTAACGATACTCTATGTCCGTCTGTCTGCCAGTCTGGCTGGCTGTCTGTTCCCTCCCTCTCTGCAAGAAAACAATTCACATTACCACGTTGCGTAGCTACCAGCCTACCAGTCGGTATGGGAAAATAAGCTATCTCATGGCGCTTGACCCGTGTCTCCTAATTCCTCCAGCGCCGGGGTGGGGACCGCTCGGAGTTGGCCGAGGCAGGGCGCGTCGTGCTGTTTACATGCGCGTAATTTGTCGCCAGGCCAGCCCCTCGGCAGATCTCTTGGGATACCGCAAGAGGCAGGCAGGCGGGCAGGAGCCAACCGTCGTCTCCCTCCTTGCAGTCAACCGACGCGTCATTCCAAGGCGATTCCAACGGTCGTCCAAGCTTCTGTCTCAGAAGCTTCCATCCATGCCTGGGTGCCTTCCTTCCTTGACTTCTTCTCTGCGCCCCGCACAGACGCGATGGTGGGGACGTCGCCTTCCGGACCGGGCACGGCACTGGGGACGAGGTCATTGTGGCAAGGGTCAGGGATTTCGAGAAGATTGATCCCTGTCAATGTGGACGGGTGTGTGTGTGGCTGATGGCATTGCCTGTCTCTGCTCGCTTGTTTGCCTGTCAAGGAACAGGGGGGAGGGGGTGGTACGATGTACACTAGGTCGGAAGGAGAGGAAAGGGAGGGGGCGAGCGACAGAAGGGGGAAGGGACGGAGGGAGGGGGGGGGGGGGGGGTGCGGGATTACACTACATAGGTAGCTTATAAGCAGTGCAGTGAATGTGCGATGGATATGTACCATATCATTATGCCATATCGTTATGGAAGTGGATGATGTCGGGGAGAGAGAGGTGATGAGCAGTCAGGGCCAGGCATGAAAGACGTAGGGAGCTAATCAAACCAAACATAAATGACCGAGGCTGGTCCATGGCTTCTCCAAAGAAGGCCAAAGCACAGAGACTTGCAGCACCATCAGTCGGGTTGATGGTCGAAAACGGAAAGATATGAGTCTCTCGGTATGTCGAGTACACCGGGGAGAATGTCATAAAACTGGGTTGCGTTACTTGCCGTTGCTTGACCGCGTTTGGCGCATGTCAGAATGGCCGAATCGAATACCGAATAGAGATCGCTGCTATCGCATGGACGAGGCCCGAACTGAGGGTCGGCGGGGGACCACGAAACTGTGGGCATGAAGGGGGGGGGGGGGGGGAGAAGAACAAGAAGCAGAGGTAACGAAAATGTGAGGCTATACTCCGTACGATGGGTGGGGCCAGGGTTGGATCCAATGCTGCCAAATGCAACAACTGCTAATGCCAGATGGCATAGCAGATGGCATTAATGGGCTTTACCGTGTAGTGTAGCTGGCTTACTCTGCACAAGGCAAGGAAAAAAAAAACAAGCAGGGTAGCTATGCAGTCTAGCTCGCCCCGGTGACAGGGGTGCGTCTTTTCTTTTTGTCCCCTCAGATGCAAGGCGAATCACCAGCAACGCAACGCAGAGAGAGACGATGTTTGTATGCAGGCCCTGCCATCCGGAAGACTGTCCAGGCCTACCTTGCCCTCCCTCCCCCCCCAAATCTTTCTCTCCCTCACTGCTGCCCCTTCGCTGCCTCGTCTGCCTGGACTCATCTTAGCTCGAAATCAGATGGGCAGAACAGAGCAACGATGTTAACGCGTAGTAGAAAGACGAGAGACAAGACCGATACGCCATGACCTGCGACTGTGCGTGCATGTACCTTTGCACGGCATAGTAAGCGTGTCGATACCTTTTCGACACCACCACCGCACAAGGACGGACCGCGATCCTTCCCAATGGAGAGCCATTCCCCTTCTCTCTCTTCCTTCATCCCCTCTCTTTCCCCGCTCTCTGTCACGAGTCCTTGCCGATGTTCGAGCCGTTGCCATGGCGGCTGGCCCTTATTTCATCAAATCTGCCCGCTTCGAAGAACGGCAAGAGAAAGGTAGATATCCGTACCTGTGTGCATATGGCGTCCAGCGGAGGGGGGAGGACAAACGTACCGCGGGAGCGACGATACGTACTGCCTACTCCGTACTTTACTTTACCTCTTTCCTCACACAAAACGCTTAGTACCTCGTCCCCACGTACTTACTTTGTGTACCTAGGTACCTCTAGATACCTAGGTACCCATCCCCCCTCTCTATCTTGTACGCTACTTTCCCCGATTGTATCATGTAGCCCCCACCTCAGTGCAGCCACAGCTCCCGTTGCCATCGAATCGACTGCCCAGTGCTGACTGAAAGGGAAAGAAGTACGGATACAACAGACAGGTACCTTACTTATCTGACCGTTGCCTACCTCCTCACGTACCTTCGGTATGTAGAGATACCCCCTTTCCCATTTCTTTTTCGCGGCAAGTTCCCGGCTCGATCCATCCGAACGCGCTCTTTCCCGAATTATCCGCTTTGCTCTGTTCGGCAGGGCGGGCCTTACTTGTTTCAAGGTACCTGCCCCTCACGTCGTCCCTTCCTTAGTTGGCATTATAACACAATCTGGTCGACATACAGTACCTGGCTGGCGTGCCGTCGGTCAGGAACGACCCAACGTAGCGTAGCCGTAACGTGATACCAGGTGAACGAACGATTATCCCCCATCCCATACCTAATTTTTGCCTTGTAGTAGGTAGCGAACTCCCATCCTTCTCCCACTCCTCCTCCACTATCACCATCACCATCACCACCACCACCACCATCACCGTTTGAAGCCGGCATCCACTTCATTCCATCCTCTACTGATCCGCATTCTCTCCATCGCTCTTATCGTTTCTCTTACTCGCTCTTCATCTCCTTTTTCTTCCTTTCAATCACGCTTTGTGCATTGCATACCAAGGGTACCCCCTGCGCCACATACTACGTATCGCAATATTTACGCTTTTCGATTTGCCGTCCCTGGCATAACCTTACACAGACAGTCTCCACCTCGAACAACCCACTCGATGCCCCAACAATGGCGAAGGGGCTTCGAGTGCTCCGGCCAAAGGCTCCATCTCCATCTGAACACGAACCACCACACAGGGCATCAACCTTCGGTCTCACGAGCCGTTGACGTGCCGGTCGTTCGGGCTTGTCCGCTTCTTATCCATTGTTGTCGGTTCCTCTCGTCAATATCGTTCAATGCATAAATGCACGGAGCGTTTGCGAGTCCGCTCGTTGATTAACCGCTCTCTTGGGACGAATTTCTTCCGTAGGATTTCCCTCATATGGTCAGGATGTTAAGCACTCTGCATACCAAAAACGGCAAGCGGCTAGCGAACCCGGACGAACTGCTGCCCGGCATACCAAACACTTTCGGTCGTCGGCTCTGCGTTGAGTAACGACGAAGGGGGACGGACGGACGTCTAGACCACCCACCACCACCACCATCAGCGTCAATCACTCGATGCTGTACGTCCCTGTTCCGCCTGCCCGCGTCTATCTTCACCAGACCGCGCGCGTCCCAGTCCTTCCAACTTGACTTCGTTGACCGCCGCCCTTAACCCACGTCACTTTCACTGGTCGGTCGCTTCTTGCCGAGCGTTGCCAACTGAGCACCCCCAAACAGGACCAGGGATGACAGCTCCGCCAGCAGACTCGGACCTCTGACAGCACAGACCAGAGCAACGCAGGGATCTATCCTTCTCCGTTCTTTCTCTTGTTACTTTGTACGGATACCTACTACGATGTACCTGTGCTGCCCCACCGGCAGAGACCCCCCTCCGGAGCGCGGGCCTGGGCCGCACCCACTCGAATATTTGACATCTTGTATCCTGATGCATCAAAACATACTCTCCAAGCCCAGCACAACCCACGGCAAATCGAACCATCAACGGCTTGTTGTCTTCCCCGAGAGTGTCCCCCCTCATCCCGTCTTGGCGAACCCGAACCTCGTCCATAACACAGTCATGGCCGTCTCTTCTCGGTATAGACCTTCCGGCATGGAGACATGGGCCTGTGGTGCATCCTCATGGTCAATTTCATCGTGGTCGAATTCCCCGATACCCAATCTGAGGCCCCCCCCCCTCGAAGGGGCTCATGGGCTCAACACCACCACCTTATCCTACCTTGCCACGCTCCCTGCCCCGATGATGTATCTGTATACTACCTGAGCCCCTCTTCTCCTCTCTCTCTCTCTCTCTCTCTCTCTCTCGTGATCAGATTGCGTATTATTAACTCCAGTCCTCCTGGCGCAAGGTTCTTCGTCTGTAGCTAGTCAGTGTGTAGCGGAACTCTGGGCCGTTGTCCACTATGGGGAACGACTAGGGAATGTTCCGGGTACTTTCGGCGTAGATGGGCGGAACTCGGAACACATCCCTGTGGGGGAAACGGGTACAGTATAAAAACCCAACGGTAATAACTTTGTAGCATAATCCTGGCTGGCCCGCAGGCCCATACGCCCGCATGACCCATTGAAAGAGAGACGTCTCGAGAGTTATCCACCTTCTTTTGTCGAACCTTAACAGAAGTCATGCGGGCCGCTCGCGGTTGGTGTAAAAGTCGTTTCCGTTAAGCGATCTTTCGCAGCAGTATGTTCAATTTTTGCGGATCTGGGTGAATTTTGCGCTGGGGCGCTTTCTGGTAACTTCTGATCTATATCGGTAACTTACGTTCTAGTTAGCACGTGCACGGTGGTTGGTTCGGGGGCCCCTGCCACTCCAATAGGTCAGATTTCCCAGGCTCACGAGCGTGGGGAACCATCTGACACCGTGGCGTTTCCCATTGCTTGATGCTAGAATCTTTCAGATCCAGCTCTAAGTAGCCCCTCGTGCGCGGTGCATGGACTTGTGCTAGCCTAGCTAGCCATCGCCCTACATCGTTTGTCTACAGGTGCCTCAAACGCAGTCCATATTTGAGGCGAAGGCTCTCTCTCTCTCTCTCTCTCTCTCTCAGTGGCAGGCATCTTACCTAGTCCACTATCGTAGCAGGATACATTGACAAAGTACTCCAGGTTCTCGACTCTCTGCTTTACTCCGGCCACCCCCTACCCCATAACACCCAGAGCTTGCCTGCCCTTTCTTTTGTCAGCAACCCCCCCCCCTTCCCCCTCGAAGCATCGAGTTCGCGTCCATCTCCTCCAAATGTCCCCATTCTTCACCGCACGCCCCCTTCATGTCACTGAACCCCTGAGGCGTCTCTTTCTCTTTAAGGTACTCTCCGCGCGCCTTTTGGATTTGGATGACAGCTCGAGGGCCAACATCAGCCGAGAGCTCACCATATATCAACATCATCACTTTATCAACAAACGTTTCCCCCTACAGTCACCTCGACCACTTCACGCCGACTTTTCTCTTGGCCCATTCGCCATCCTACGCCCACATAATCCTCTCGGTCCCGTCACTTCTTGACAAGAGCCAGCCCAGTGACGCATCCAGACCCCGATACGGATACTCTCCACGCATACCTTACCGTGCTCCCACTACGAGACCCAAGTCCCATTCCTTGAGGCTTTAGATCTACCACACGGGTTGGTCTCGGTGCTCAGGTACCGCTGTAAGCCTGGATTGAGAGATACTGGCCACTCATTCCATAGGTAGGATGACACTGCCCTGCCTACACACACGCCGGTACCAGTAACATGGTGTGCGTGTGGGTACACTTAGTATGCACAGGAAATGGCCATCGTTGCTGACCACTCAGGGATTAGGAAGACTCGCTCCCTCCCAGATATACTGACAGGCGCTGCCACTGCCGTTGCCTCCCGTCCTCCTTGCTCTCTTTCTCTCTCTCTCTCTCTCTCTCTCTCCCTCTGCCCCTCCATACAGGAACAGCTGCCCGATTCGCCTCCCCTGTTGCTGTCTTGCGTCCCACTCGGAAAGATCTACGCCTGGCACTTCCGGTTTCCATCTCGTGACAGGGGTCCTACTGTCAACCACTTCCTCGCATTAAATCTCCTCCTCCCACCAGTCACACTTCCTTCATCACTTCCAGTTGTCGTCTGACAAGACATCCGACCTACCGTATCCGGCCATCGACACCTTGACGAACTTTGTCAGCCATACACTTCCCGTTGATGCCGCATTATAATTCTTTTCTCTTCTTTGGCACACAAGCCATCTATTGACTATCGCCGGTGCTGCCTTGCCCAGTCCTTGGTCCCTTTGCGGTCTTTACATCTCGTCAATCATCAAACGTCACGCAACAGCGGACTGGTCACCTTTGCGGACACCATATTGTTCGAGCCCTTTCTGGTACTTGAAAATACCCTTCGTCAGTTCTGGGTGGATGAATCTAGCTGCCCCAGCAAGCCAACCGCACGCAATTTTGCCGCCTCGGATTCTTGGTCGTCCAATACAACAATAAACTTAATCACACTGTTTCTCCGATACCTCGGCTCGCTACTTTTCTCCTCAACCCCAGCCAAGCAGCTATATATGCTGGGCCTCTAATAGAATTCCCATTCTTCGGTTTTTCGCTTCTCGGCACATCTTTCAGCACACCAATTTCTTACAAGGCCCAATTGGCACACCTATCATCACGTAGCAGTTTGTTACAAGACCCAATACATCAATGTCTTACTCTCACAATCATCTCGGGGGCTCGGTCCCGACGCACCAGCGGTACGTGTCTCGGACAGAACAACGCCGCCTACCGTTGCGACTGATACTAACGGGCGACAGTTTCCCAACGAGCCACAGCGGCATCTCTCTAACCGTCGTTCAAGGGCCAACCAACGCAAAGGTAGCCACCGGAAAAGAAAAGGGTCCGTATCTCGCCAGCTCGGGAGTTGCTTCGTAGGCTAATATCCGTCAACAGACCGCAAACCGATCGATCCGCCTCCCATTGTCAGGCTCATTGTTGAACCAAGAAACTTTGACCGCAGCTTCTATGGCAACCCCGACAACTGCCTCTTTAGTGAGTAGTAGATCATCAGATCTTGTTGCATTCGCGCTGACCTTGGCCCAGATCCCTTCTGGATTATGTACGTCCACTTGATCAACGCCGACCAAGACAGCAAGCAAGACCCCGAGGTGACTAAAAAAGCACTAGTCGGCACGACTTGTTCCTCCTTACACAAGTTCAAGGACCCCAATAGTCACGATGCCGGCTACTTTGTGTTTGGGGATCTCTCGGTCAAGTACGAGGGATGCTTCAAGCTGAAGTTTACCCTGTACGAGATGCGAAGATCAGAAGTCGTTATGTGCACGACTGCTACTTCGTCAGCTTTCCAAGTGCACACCCAAAGAACATTTCCAGGAATGGCCGAGTCAACCTACCTGACCCGCCATCTCAGCGACCAAGGATGCCGGCTGCGTCTTCGAAAGGATTCACGCCAGGCCACAAACCGGAAGCGCCAACTCACGATCAGCCTAGAGGCGGAGCGTGCCCGCACGACCGGCCCATCGCCCAAGCGGCATCGTGCAGATGGCCCTGGCGAAGTGCTTCACGACGGGATCCAGACCCACACAGCTTTGCAGACCAGCTCGGCAGGCAGCGGCGGATACGTGGGAGGATTCCCTCAGCACCAGTACCAAAGCCCGTACCAGAGCTCCAGGCAGCTCAGCAGCAGCAGACAAATGAGCGGAAACAGACTGGCTCCTCCGGCCATGTCCGTGACGCCCAACTACACGACGGCACCGCTCCTTTCCAGCTATACGACAGCGCCCATCGCACCAAACTTCACGACGGCTTCTATGGGGGCGACCCTGCCGGCGACGTCCATGGGGACACAGTCAATAGGGCAATGGCCAGCCACACCGTCGTCCGGTCTGTCAGCCGCTGCTTCGTTGCCCTCGGCTTCGCCCACTCAGAGTCCTCCTGATATGGTTCACCCCAACTCTTATTACCGCCTCAACTCGTCTCTTATTTTTACTGGGGATATTTCGACGTACGAGGGTGAAGACGCACTGCCTGACGAAATATTTGCCAGAGACTACCCGAAAGATAGTTTCTGGGCCATGACGGAAGAGCGTAGAAGGGCCGGCCACGGGACGGGCAATATTGGCGCCTAGGATGGCAGATTGCCGAAACCAGGTTTTTGACAAGCATCATACCAAAGATGGTTTCGAGCAGACTAATGAAGACCTTTTTTTTTTTTTTTCTCTTTCTCTTCTTTTCTATTTTTTTTTTCCGGCGGCATTCGCCTGAGTGTACAAGAAGCAAAGTGCGCGAGTTTGTGGTGGTATCGGACAGGGCGGCATACCTTCTGATTAGTGTTTCTTGAGCCAAAAAAACGGCGTTGGTGGTTTCAAAGCTTCGGCAAAGGACATATACCCTTGGGGTCTTTTCACTGGAAAATACACGGCAGCACACCGGCGCAGTGGGAGCATGGAGGCAAACGCGAGGTTGAGACACCTGGTATCGTTATGGTATCGTTTTGATAACCAACTGTGCCAACGATGATGGTTATTCTTTTTTAGAAGAAAAAAACATATATATAAAACAAACCACCCTATGTAATTATGGAAAGAATGCATGGGCCCCTTAATCCGCACGTATTGCTACTCGAAGAAGTGATATCAAATGGGCCAAAGGGCACGCCATGCGTGTCTAGTCTAGTATATCTGAAACTTGTGGCTCAGAACGCAGCATAGAGAAATGGACATGAAGGGATGGATGGATGGATGGATGGATGTAGTCACAGGCGCGGGCAACCTCTTTTTCTCCGTCTCTCTCCGGCTTGTTCGACTCGACGATTTCTGCAGGCGCAGGACCCCTGCTGCACTACAACCGAGCGCTTTTCGACCCTGACTGCGGGCAATGTTTTGTTGTCCCCACGCAGGCTGATGGTACTCGGATCAAGATGAACGGCGTAGGGGAGGCTAGGCGAGAGTGACAGAAAGATGAGGATGGATACAAGGGTTGCCGGGATGTGAGCGGAGAGTGTCTAGGGAGAGGAGAGGAGTCATGGGGGCCTTACAAAGGGGGGGAGGGGGGGGGTGGAATCTTGCTTGCTAGAAAGGGGTGCTCTTGTCCAGGTATCAAGAATGGGGTGTTGTATGCGGTCCGGCGCGGTGGAATTAAACCCTCGCCAGGTTCCCAGCCGGCGATGTGGAGGAGACAGAGAGGGACAGAGAGGGACAGAGAGGGACAGAGAGAGAGAGAGAGAGAGAGAGAGAGAGATTTAGTTGGGCAGTAACAGTAACAACATCAAACCAGGAAGGGAAAAAACCGGTATTATGGCTGGGGGTGTCTGACCAAACCCCCGGGACTTTGGGTTTTCCTTTTTTTTTTCTTACTTTCTTTCCTTTCTTTTTTTCCTCCCCTTCTCTTTTCCCCATGTCTCTCACTTACTGACCACGTTTGAGCCCCCCCCTTTTTTTTTTTTTTTTTTTTTTTTTTTTTTTTTTTTTTGCTGTCTGTAAAATTTTTCTCGCATCCTTTGATGGGACTATTTGTTTGCAGGGGTCCCGTCATCTAGGAAGGCTCTCGGGTCTAACAGCGTGCCAAACTTTACGGAGGTAAAGGGCAACAAATACGAATGAGAACGCCTGTTTTACCTAACCCCTAACCCCTAGGGTAACAAGGTCATAGCAAAGCACGACTTGTGATTCGCTGAATGGTTTTTGACCGAAAAAAAAAACGTGCCCAGAAGGGGGAAAAAAGGGTCAGGCTTTGCGCGAACGCGTGTAATGGTTTTTGATACTACACTTACCTGCAACGAGAGGTCCTCTCCCCAATACGACAGCTATGCCTGCCTGCCTGCATATGGAGGCTCGGGCTGCGCCAACATTGGACTCGAAATGGAACCGGCTGCTCCCCAACCCAACCCACCGCTCGACGACGTGGGGCCGGGGGGGGGAGGGAAAGTAGTCACTCCTCACATCCTCACCTTACATTGCTCAGATAGTCGGCCATTACGAACTCTAACCCACCTGGTATCCATCTCTGCCCCCTCTCTCCTAGCAATGCCACCGACGACCGCGATGACCCAGTTGTCGTAACATGCTGGTGCGGATCCATCCGGAAACGTCTACGTATTCAAGGTCCCCTCCCCCTTCTCTCAACGTAGACGATGGCGCACAGTGGAGCCAAGAAATAGGCAAAAAGATGAAGATGCCTCCTATCCCTGTGTCCCTCCCCGGTTCCCCAACCAAGACCACGTCCGTCAGGGCAGTCCGCAAACCTGATTATCGTCCACCGGACAGCCGCCCAGCTCACCGCGATATCCTCAAATGTTGGGGGACGCCGCCGCAAACCGCTCAACTCCACGCCCGCCAAACCACGACACGGCCCCTGCTACCCCCCTGCCTGCTTCTTCCCCTTCCTTCACCAAATGCACCCAGAAAGCATTGCGGGATATTCTGAGCGTCTGAGACGTCTTCGACATGATAGTTGGAACCCCCCCCCCCTGGATGCCTTGATGGAAGGTTCCATGGTTTCTAGTTGAGACTAATGGAAAACGTCCCCCGTCCCATTCCCTCTCCCAGCTCCCTTCCATCCCATGAAAGCCTCTAGTGTTCATGGTCTTCCCCAGGACGAGTACCTGGCTAACGGGTCAGCCTATGGGGTCGCCAACCCCCCCTTGCGCGCGTCGTTCGATTTTGTTATTTCTCTCCATGCAATATTCCCAACCTGACGGGGTTGATGCAACGTCGGTCCTGGTTCCGTCTCGTTTAAGCCTTCTCCCCCCTTCCTCTTCTGGAAGCCCATCCTCCCTATTTCCTTTGTTCCCAGGCAAGGCGACCCTAAGGCAACGGGGGAGGACGCCGGGGGTCAGCAGAAGAAGGTTTGGCAGAAGTCTGGTCGAGCCAACCCCGTATGCCGAGATGAACTAGTTGCATCTCATCCCATACGCGGACGGGCGGCTCCGTCAGCGGCCCTGCAGGAGGGCGGAGGGACATTAGCACGCGAGGAATATCCTGCTGCCCTCGCACTTTGCATGAACGAGTTTCCCCGGCGCCTTGATGTTGCAAGCTTGTATCTTACGGTTCCGGGGGGGGGGGACTCTGCGGGGAGCTCATCAAGCTTGACGGGTGGCAGTGCTTTCTATGCCTTGATTTTTTTTTTCCCTCACCGTATCCCAGATCTCCTTTTTTTCCCGCCAAAAAACCATGATGGCCGTAAGAATCCGGGGTTTTTCTTTACGTCTTGTTGTTACTCAGCCATCTAGTCTTTTGGTTTGACTTTTCCCTTTGATTGGGCGTCATCGGCCCGAACTGGGCTACGCACGTTACTGGCATGCCACGCGCACCCCCCCTCCCCCCCCCCTTTGATGCGAGGCGAAAGTCTTCATGGGACGAGGTGGTTTCCTCAACCAAGAATGTGGATGCGGCCGACGTTCGCGTACCAGATTACACCCAGGCCGGCGAGAGACTTCACGAAGACATCGGTACGCTCGCCGGTAGGTACGGGTAGTAACGGTGGGACGGCTTGGAAGGGGGGCGTGGCTGGTGGTGGCACGACGTTTCCCTCTCGTGGCACAGATAGGGGGTCCGCGGAAGACAAGACGCGCGGAATGGAATTAGAGTTTACAACGGCGGTGTCGGGCAAGGTAGTCGGCGAGCAAGCGCTCATTCTCTTGGCTTCTGGGGATTAATTAAGGTGCGGTTTGACAGCTTGACAGGCCGCGGGGTCCTTGTTCGTGGGAAAAAGGCACTATGTCAAGAACCTGGCATGGCACTTTACTCATTACTCACTAGTCACTCACTCACAGACTCACTTACACCCCCATATACGGATATACATGTACACTTTATACACACACCTGCTATTCCACATGGTGCACCTCGCTGGCCTTGATTCCTCATCATCTCCATCATCACTCTTGCCCACGTCAATAAACTCCATTCCATCCATCCCCACATGCCTGCTTTCTCCCCGACTAAACTCTTAGCGTCTCGTAACCCGTCATCTCGTGTGCATTCACGTGGCCTCGCCCCTTATTGCGTCTGCCCTCTATTTGTCGTATCTTCCGTCTCAGCCCCCCCCCCCCCCCCCTCAGCGTTGCAGTCTCTCCAACCCCGATTCTTCAACGGCTTCCTTCCGGCTCCGCGCCGGCGGGAGTTGAGAGGAGAGGAGATGGGGAAGGACTCGGATCGATCAGGCAGTCCTGCCGCGGCCGATGTTCCGGCTCGGACTCCAGGTCAAATCTCTCTTCAAACCCCCTAGCCCCACCGTTTGTCGTCCCCACTTAACCCGGACCGGCACCCGGTCCATGCGCGCGCCTCGTTTTGGGCACCGCAGCCCTGTTGAGGATCACGACGATCACGCAGGACCCTGGCGGAACATCCAAATGCCGGGCCTTTCCCTTTCACAAGCCAAGCCAAGGGCGTGTAGACGTCGGAAGGGGCCCAGAACGCACTAAGGGACGGAAACACTTGCCCCTCTTCCCCCCTCTTCCCCCCTCTTCATCCGATGTAGGTATTGTCCGTCTCTACGGCACGCCGCCTTCGTCGCCGTCTGATCTCCCGCGAACGGATGGACCTTGAGCGCTCATGACGTGCGTTCTGTTCGCCGACGCTTTGATCATTCCAGAGACGATCACACGCGCACGTCGCAATCCCAACTAAGCCGCACTCGTGCCCATGCGTATTGAACCATCATGCTGAATCTGGTCGGGGAGTGGGATTCTGTGGCGGACGGAATGAGACGTCCGGCTTACACATCGGCCAAGACAATATGTCTCTCGTCAAACAACCGTGAGATTCCATTGAACATGCCCACCAAATTTATTCATGTGCTAATCAAGCCGAAAAATGACATTGACCATGTTTTTTATCGGCTCATCAAGCAATAAGACGGCCGACATGGATGTTTACCCATGACGTCTTTCTCTTTCTTTCTTTCGACATATAGGCAAGATAGCGTCCCTTTCCGAACCAAGATTCGGCTGGGAATCTTCCGTAGCACTCGCAATATCACGGGACGGTATCGATATGTGCCTACTGGTATCCAGGCACGATAAGAGGCGAAAGATGGGCCGGGTCGAAATGTAATACTCGCACGCTCGGGCCCGCCCCAGACCATGGTATCTGACATTTCAGGGAAAGTCGATCCGGTATGGTTTCAT